ACAGCTGATGAAGAAGACCACTAATTTAAATCAGTATAGATCATATCTTCTCTCCTGAGAAAGCTGATGAAGAAGACTGCTAGTTTGTATCAGGATAGATCACCTTTTTTTTTCCAGAGAGCTGATGAAGAAGACCACTAGTTTGTGTAAGGGTAGATCACTTTCTCTCCAGAGCTGATAAAGAAGACTGTTAGTTTGTGTCAAAATAGTTCTTTCCAGAGAGGTGATAAAGAAAACCGTCAGTTTGTGTAAGGGTAGACCATATTCTCTCAAAAAGCTGATGAAGACGGCAGCTGCAGTGGCCTAAGTGTAGATAGATAAGTCTTTTTTGGTATGAAGGAGTAATGCTATATATGTATATTTAGACACATTTTGAGTACAGCTGTGACTACACCGTCCATTATTATATTCAGATCACTGATTTCATTCTAACCTACAGTATGAAATGAAATGGTGTTATCATAGGAATATCATACATGAATATCATATAATAATATTGGCTAAATTAATTTAAGTTTGGATTCATTGATTATACCAATATCTAGCCTACACTTTTCTGTAAGCTGATGATTGGTGGTGCCATCTCTTCATCTTTTATTTAGTTCTTGTCCATTTGTCTTTACCTTCCATTTTGTGGCCATGTCTTGGCAAATCTGTTATTCTGATCTGGTTGTGTTGATATATTAAATATTATAGTTGTCATCTCTGAAATTTCCATAAACTTTTCTGTCTTCTTTTCCTTGGCAATGCAAGTTGTCATCTCCACTCCCTCATATCTTCTTTCTCTTTATCAATCGGCCATATTGACTTTATGCAACATAAAACAAATCATACTCTTTCTGATTGGTCGCATCAAATTCAACTTCTGAATGTTCACATTGACCGTTATGTTAATATTCGTAATTGATTTATCCACGATAATCCGTATCTGGAGTCAACAAGATAATCATTCATCTGAGCATGGCGGGTTGCTATGGTGACAAAACAGAGTTAGCAAGTGTAACCTTTTACTTGATCTGCCCGGAGGCCTTGCTGTTATATTTTTTTGTTCAATTATCACTTATCGAAAAGCATGATGGATTCAGCTATTGTGACAGATATTGTGATCAGAAGTTATTGTATTGTAATTCACAAAATCTCTTATGGGCAGAAAATTCTGCAAATAATTTCCCTCCTAAATTACAGTACATAACTAGATAAGTATGAGAAGCAAATGCAGTCATGCTTATGAATTTTTTAAATACTTCTACTATAGGATTGATCCCACAAAACTGATACTGTACTTAAATCTATGTGCTTGGGCAAAATCTTTGGTATGAAACATTTTTATTTCCTATGCATGTAATGCAATAAGAACTATTGTATTCACTTCCTGGCCCAGATTACCATTGTGGAAAATATCAAGATGTGTCATTAACAGTGCAAACAGTATTAACATAACAAAGTATTGTGTTTATTGATACTGCATTTAGTAAATAATAATTTTGAAATAAAACCAAATATTGTTATATTACTGTAATTTTATTTTTGCCTTATATATATTTTTTTACACAGGCATTTGACCTGAAACTGTTTACTTCATAAGTGATCACTGTTAAAGAGTCTGAGTGATTTAAGGAAACAATTTGTATTAAAACGGTGTACAAAGGGGTGGGGGGAGGGGGAGGAGGGAAGCAGCACCTCCCTGAATATGTCCCTGCAAAAGTTGAAAACAATCCATAGTGATAAAAGTATCACAGTTGATGTGTTAATTAGGCCTATAGGCCAACATTTTCGCTACCGTAGCATAACACAGCAAACGGCCTAAATATGTTTTCAAATTGAAATATTTCGTGTATTAAATTCAGTCATATAACTTCACTATTATTCTGCGTAGGAACGTTCACACCTGCTAAGGTGGTTTAATATATTGTTGTCTAGTAGGCCATGCCACCACCCCCACACCGATATCGTTTCAAACTACTGTAAAATGAAAATACTGAATACATACATAGGCCTACAAAATAAAAAAATATTTTTTTTTTTTATGATTCTACTAACTTAATTTGCCTATCAAATAACATAAACAATGTGGTCAAAAATCACTATTTTGGACCATAAAAACTCACTACTCCTGAATTGTTCAGGTTAAACCACCACACAAATTTGACCCAACCTTATATTTTCTGATTAAAAGTCATGTATCATGCATAGGAACGTTGACGCCTGCAAGGCTCTGGTTGTTCATTTTTGTCACAATATGTAACATTATCTTGACTTGACTTTACTTTATTCAGTGTACCACAACATCAACAATAAATAGAGAATAACAATGATTTTCTTAAAATGTTAATACATTATTTAAAATAGGGAAAAAGATTAAAAATTAATGTCAATAAAATGTAATGTTGTAAACCATGGTATACTAGGAGAGCCCATGAAAGTTGGTGTACGGAAAAAATGGCCCCGGAAAAAATGGCCCTGGAAAAAATGGCCCCGGAAAAAATGGCCCCAGAAAAAATGGTCCTGGTAAAAATGGCCCCATATGACATGTAGGTAAAAATGGCCCCAATAATCAAATTCTGTATTAAAACTGATTTTCTTGGAGTCAATATATATGCATTTTTGTATCTTAAATAATTTAGTTTTTAAAAGGAATCTAACATCAAACAAATTGCCATTTACATTTTACTTTTTGCAAGAATTAATATTCAATGATAAAATATTCAAAGATAAATAAAAAGCCATGAATTACACTTTTTATTTATTTTTTCCATTTTTTCCGGGGCCATTTTTTCCGGGGCCATTCTTACCTACATTCATGAAAGTTGTATAAAGACAAAGAAGAATAAGAAGTTATGTTGTATAAACCTATAACATAGCACTGCAACATGCAAAACTAGGAGACAGACCTCAGGTAATTGCAAAATATGATTTTTGAACAATGAATAAAAAAAAAATTAATTAAAACATAGGCCTACACTGTTCTCATACAGTAATGCAGTATGCTTTTTGTGTGTGATGTCTGCTCAACCAACCAGGGCACATAATGTCATTGACCTCTCAGTCTAGTGAAAACATAGATCTTTCCATGTTCTTATGCTATTGAAGTTTAATTGAATTGAATTGTACTTCTTAAAGCATAATACACTAAATTCATGTTATATCCTTAGTAAGTAAATCTTTAAAACAAGTACGATACTTAATTTTATGAATGTGTTATAAGTAATGTATGGGATTCAGGAGTCATATGAGATTATTAATGCTTACAAATGTTTGAAGTTTTTTTTTTTTAAATTTACTATGTTAACCTTTATAAGCTAGGCCTACTTTCTGTATTGCTACACTATCACCTGTACCATTTTTAATTTATGGTATTATTATTAATAATCCCTAAAGATATTCAGTTTTAGGATAGAAAGTTTTTTAGAAAGATTGAGACTATGCCAAGATTGGTAATTTTTATGTTACTGTACACATTTAATTTGATTGGAGGTATACAATACATATAAATATACAGCCTGAATATTTACATGAAGTTTTTTAGCAATTGTAAAATTTTAAGCGAGCAGCACTCTTTTAATGGTTATAGCCTGGTTCTCACGAGAAACCTAGTATCAGGATCGGCAGCTAGCTGTTAGCGCTAACAGTTAGCACCTGTGTGAGAACGCCCGATCGGTTAGCACTAACCGTTAGCAGTATCTGGATACCGCTAAAGGTTAACAAGCGCTATCGGTTAGCAAGTTGAGCCCGTTTCTATTCTCAACCAATCACATGTACGCGTTTACAATTTCCAGTTTCTTATTGGCCAGTGATTCGATCATCATATTCTTGGTATCCGGATCGGGATTTTCTCGTGTGGACACACGGTAGCTAATGGTTAGCAGGATCCGGATGCTGCTAACCGTTAACTGCCGTGTGAGAACAATAGCCTAAGATTATTATCATGACCACAACTACTGCTACAGTATAGGCCTACTGATATTACTAATCCTACTACTACAACATACTACAGGTACTAGTAACACAGAGAAATGTTCGACTTTTGATCTACAACTATAAACAGATGGCCCTGTGAGTGCATACTGTTGACTAATGAAAATTCAGTTGTCAGCGAAGTTGCCAGAAAGTCAAGCTATGTTTATTTTCCCAGAGTTTGTTCTTGCTGGGCGCAGAATCAGGTTTCACTAAAAAGCCTAGGTGAGGTGTAATTGGTCATTTTTGCAGGAAGGGATCAACTCAGATACTCTTTTAGTAGCATTTTTTTCCACAGTGCACTCTACTGTACTCTGCATGGGGATGTATGTTTTCCCCCATATTTTTGTTTTCTTTATTGCATTGAAAATACAGTGTACAAAATTGTACACTAGAATGAATAATAACACGTACACTCAAGTCAGAAGACATTACAGTGTGGTTCTTGCAATCATATTTTTATTATAGAATGATGTTAATACTAAAAATAGTGCTAATACTATACTAATAATGATACCGTATTTGATGATGATTATAACGACTTTCCTATATTTACATTGAAACAGAATACAAAGCATACTTCATTGCGAATGGCCCAGGTGGGTTGGTGGAAGGCCTACTGTATTATATCGGCCTATAAAATGATATCTGCTTGTGGTGCCCAATTTTGTAGTTCATGTACTGTACTGTATATTTATTTTTCTGTTGTGTTCAAAATTGAACTCTCAATTCTCAAATTAAGACACTTATACAAAGTCTGAGAGTGCCATTCCAGACATCTAGAGGTGCTAACAAACAAAAATGAAAACAAATATATAACAAACCTTCATGAATTTGTATTAACTATAACTTATAGTCTCTTTAGAATGGGGAAACAATAATTTATAATTTTGTTTTGTACTGTTCAATTGCGACAGTCAAACCCACAACTATATGCAGTTAAAATAAGTTAAGAAAGTATTAGTTGGTATTCAAACGTGCTTATATAACCATGGAATATGTTGTAACCATGTGTTGACTATAATACTACCACCCAGGTTCTTCAAGGTACAGTATTAAAATACTAAGCTTGTAGGCCTAACTGCCTGCCCAACTGATTGCATTTGGTCTGATTCCTTTTAAGTGATAAATGCCCTGGCATGTGGAAAGAAGCCTTGGACAGCTCAAGGACTAACTTACTTATAAATGGTTCTGATTACAAAGCCTGACAACTTTAGCAGCCTTCTGTTCCTCTGTAATTACCATTGTATGACCTATTAGGCTGGGCTTGTCCCCATAGAAGAAGGATTTGGAAGAGGTAGGTCACTCAGCTTGGATGGATGGATGCTGAGCAGGTGGTTTTGCTCCATTGCAGATTGTACTACTGACCACAGGCCTATGTAACTACAAATTAATATTTATTTTTTAGTTTAATAGTTTAATGTTTTCACCTGCATACTAAGTATAGTTATTACTGCCATGCTCATCTATGCCCCATGATACTTGTGGATATCTAATCGATACTTGTGGATAACTGATCAATACACCATTTTCGCCAAATTTGAAATGAAAATTTCCGCTAACCTGGCAACCACCACAGGGGGACTTCCCCTACACGCTGATCATCACAAAAACCATTGCCACCAAACCATAATTAACCGTCAGCGTTTGACGAATTACCCATGCGTGCGTCAGTTGCCATGGTAACCGCACTTCGTGCGGTGGTTACAAAGCCTAACATTAGACTGAATTTATATTCGTTATTTCAAAATTAAATTTACCAATGATATGGTGTCCGGTGGTTCATGAGACTTACTTCGCAGAAAAGATAAATCAATTTTTTGTATCTACTCAAATGTTCGTTTTGTGCACCTTAGTATCAAACATTGTCAAAATGCCAGTTTAGTGTTAATACAAGAACATGAATTTTTATGAAAAGCTCATGGTCAAAAGAAATCAGATGTAACAGACATTGCAAAGTACCCAAAATTAATAAAAGAGTAACTAACTCCATAAAACGTATGGCACGCATAGTCTAATACTTGACGGCTGTACTTGCAACTAGTATTGGATTGTCGATGCCACAATAAAGATCAAAGGACTGTACGCACGCGCTATGTTTGCGAGTGAAGATGTGCATCGTTTTGTTGAATTGCCTTGGTGTTAGCCATGTTCAGTGTTTTCTGCACCGAGATTGAGCTAGAGTATCATTTCAAAATTGAATTTCTGAATTTTGCATTTTAGTTATTAGCTTACCCCTAAAAATGAGAAAAAATCCTCACCAATTAACAGGCAGCGTTTAATAAATATCAAACTATAATCTTTGCAATTTAATTTTTAACAACAAATCTAAGGACTTTTATTTGTAATGATTAGGCAATCAATGAATGAGAAATTTTTTAATTTGAGCAAATTTCTGTTATCTTTTGCTATATCATAGGTTCTTTTGTAAATGAAAGTGTTCAAACATTTGTGTTTTTCATCCAAATGTTCCTGATAATTATTGGTTACGCCTCATTGCCAAGGCTTTTCAGCAGTCTCTGTGCTTACTACACATACAAAACACACTTCTCCCAGTAGATGGCCTCATAAAATAGTTTATGTGATAGTTTCAACCAGTTTATAGCTACTTTAGTGGTCTCTAAACACCTAAATACTTCTTCCATGGGGAGTCTGCTTCTCCATAATAGAAGGAAGTTATTTGATGCTAAGAGGGAAATGATTTATCCATGTTTATGATGGTTTTTAGAGAAACCCCTCTTTTAAGTGGCTTCTTATGAACTGAATGTCACAACAAATTTTAAGACTCCATTCATCCGCTACCACTATTGAAAATGTCAACAACCTCTGTTCCGCATTGTTGAATGGTGGCAAGCATTATTTGATTTGGCAATATTATTTATTAATCTTATTCTGTTATTCATGCATTATTATAAACATGAGATAAACCTCTGATTAATAAAACTTCAATTTCCTTTACAATATACTGATATGAAGATAAAACGCCTAATTCGTTTAGATGATCACATATATTTTATTACATTTTTTATTCAACTTGCTAGTGTCGGTTTTTATTGCTGTTGGTTTCGAACTGAGTAAAACAAAAAAAAAAAGATTTTTATATCAGTTTGCCAAAAAGAATAAAATTTTCTGTTTGAAACTCCTGTCTTGACCACCATAATCTTAGTCTGCATAGGCATCAGAGGCCAACATCTTCATTGAAGTTCAATATGTATTGATTGTGTGTGTTTAGTCCCTAAGTATACTGCCACATCCAATTCTCATGACTGCTTCATTACTTATTCATAGCTCAGTTTTTTCTATCAAAATCATTACATTGGTTTAAATGCTATCAGAATTCTTAATATGCTTCTTAATTAATTAATCACTGTTGCAACATTTTAATACTATACAGGATTTAAGATTAATTTAATAAGCCAAATTGAGGAAAAACAAGTAAATTCCTAGAACACCACAATGTACTATGAAAAAAATAAGTATGCCTTGCAATAATTTTTTTTTTGTACAGTACAAAATTTTAAAGTATTTTTCTGATATTTTCATCCATAAAAAAAAAAACCGAATAATTTTAGAATTTTTCATATTGTGATTGCCCAATTCATTGGTTGTAGAATTTCTGTCATGTAATTACCTGCTGTGTTTCTCTCAACCCAAACTTATTACACTCATGTATGAGGAGCGTGCATATTATTAAGCTATAATGAATGACTGTTTAACAGATGACTAGGGGCTATCGGAGGACAAGCGTTTCAGGTAACTAGCGGAAATCACGCAAAATCTTTAATGGTATCAACGATTCTTGAGTTGATTACAGTACATTTTTGCAATGTATGCGGTGACTTAGGGAGGTTAATTTAGGAAATAATTCATATAGGAAAGTATTAGCCCCATATTGTTCACATTTAAACCAATAATAATAATAATTTTTCATTCCAAAAGGCTAAAATATTGTCTATATACAGTAAACAGTTAATGACTAAAGTATTTCTTAATGACCAAAATACAGTATAGGAATACTGTAAATGTCAATACAATTTTGATGTAACACTAAATAGATGAATCATTCTAACTATGTGTCTTATAATTTATAAAATTTTCTGAAATGTCTTATATCCAACAGAAATTCAGAACCTAGTAATTACATGACAGACAAGTCTATTTGATGTGTACGGAATGACAATAAGCCAACCAGAAATTATGTACTAGGTGCTGAAAAGACTGTTTTTATCATTGCCTCACTACTTTAATGAGATTCTATGGACAAAGTAAAAATGTAAACATTCTACAATATTTTATGCTTTCAACTTCATATTTTTTTCTCACAAATGAAAGGTAACACTTTTTTTTTATAAGAACCTGTAAAATGTTGCCCAGGCTCAGTGTTCATTTTAGCTCAGCCTCAATTTGTTCTTATCTTTTAAGCAAATTAAGCCTCAGTGTTCTTATAAAAGTAGTTTCTTATAAAAAAAAATATGTGTAGTTGCAAGCAAATTAATCTGCTGCACATGCACAGTACATCAAAAGATATCAAAATCTTTCAGGTCTTAAAAGACAAGTTACAGGTCCATGCATTTAATAGTATCAGAGGTTTCTTATATATTATTCATATTTTGTGACTTAAATTTTATTATTTATTTGGCATCATGAATAATAAAGATAATGAACTTTAATATGATCGGTATAATATTAATAAACCAGCCAACAAATTTAACCAGTCACCATCAACAATTGGAAACCCACCGTCACCTGCCAATGTTTCTGTTACCTATGCTACTGCAGCATTTTCTGTGTTGATTACTGTATACTGGAGTAGTTATTAGGCTACCTGCAATTCATCCATTTACATAACAAGTAATTCTGATATTAGATTTTAATTGCTTAATAGGATTATCCTACATCGAGGACCTCATCAAAACAGAAGAGAATTAGCAACATTACGTGGTAGGTGTTTGATGTATTCAACCCCAAGACGGTGTATATTGTTTCCATTTTGTTTCTATTGAAATTGGTTTAATTTAGCTGACTGTACCATGTGATGATTTTTAGTTAAACTACATCAAACTGAAAATATAATAAATAGTTAGAAATAAGATTTAAGCATACTTTCACTTCATTTTTAAAATGTGATTTTTATTACTAAGAATCTTTTTGCTGTTATAACAGTTCTCAAATACCAGTATCATTCACTTTGTAAACAATATTTACTGAAAACATAATATTAAGTTATGAATAGATTATATTATCCTCATAAAAGTTTGACACTTAATTCTCTGTAGTGGTAGTAAATATCTAGCAAATTTTGTGACCTCATTGCTGTTTAATTACATGGACAACAGCCAATCAAATTCACCGGTGCATGGAAGTGAAACTGAGATGGCTGCCAATCATAGCTTTTGTGCTTGTAACAATTAGTTTTATATAGGGACATTGATTTTTAAAGACTTTGTACTGTTGATTACTGGTGTGATTTATGTACAGTATGTAAGCTTTCTGTATTTACATTCAAATTTTACATATAGTTTTATATTCTCAATCAATAGGAGGTCCATATTAGGGATGCCCTTACATAATTCGGTAATATTGTAAGAATATTAGACCTGTTTCTCATCCCGATATTTTGAAAAAAGGAGAATGATGTGAAATCCAAGATGGTCGATGGGAAACAGCTACTACCTTTTAACTTTTACCATACATATCCCCAACCACGAACCACTGAGAGAGGAATTTTACTGATGTGAGTTAGCCAGATTTTTGTACATTTCGTAAAATTAAAAAATTGAGTTCGGCAAAGAAAAGGGATGCGCGAGGGGTCAAGAAACTAGTAATTTTTTTATT